ATCGTCCTTCCAGCGGGTCCTGGTCCTTCCACCAGGCCTCCTCCCAATGGGACATGTCTGGGACACCTCCTGAGGGAGGCGACCAGGAGGCATCAGGTACAGATACCCGAGCCTCCTCAGCTGGCTCCTTTAGACGTGGAGGAGCTGTGACTTTACTCTGAGCTCCTCCCGGGTAACTGAGCTCCTCACCCCATCTGGAAGGGTGCGACCAAACACCCTGCCAAGGAAACTCAGTTTGGCCGCTCGTATTCGCCATCTTGTCCTTTGGGTCGTTTCCCAGATCTCATGCTTATAGGTGAGGGTGAGAACGTAGATCCATCGGTAAATCCAGAGCTTTCTTGCCAGAGATTAAAAAAACAGTTTCTGTCCCAGTTTAACAGCCATAATCTTTAACCAGATTGCTAATCAGCTGATGAAGGGACTGTCCTGACATGAAGTTGAACCATAAAAACCTTCTAAGCTGATTTAAATCCAGTTAGCCATCAATCTAACACGAAGCACAGAGGTAACTTTTTAAAGGTTAGTAAAACCTGTTGACATCCGCCATCCTGACGGGTTCTGCTTACATTTCAGCTCTGCATCCTTCAGGGTTGGTGTTCTTATGACCCATGCAGATGTGGAAGACCACCTCCTCTGATGTCTCCAGGTTTGGGTACGGTAACGTTCCTGGAAATTAAACATCTTCATGAGCTGAACAAACTTAGGAACAGTTTCATTTTCTGCTGATCGATCATATTGATGATCAAATGTCACACTTTATTTAATTAGTTCAAAACACGGATGATTCTCTAAACTCCCTCTGGGATCCGTTTCATGAAGCAGGATTAACAAACTCAGATTTAAATCCTCATCTCTAAATTGATCCAGCCTAAAGTCGGGAACTCTGAGTGTTCGGTTTCACAACGGCTGCTATCAATTAGTTCAATTAGTTTTAACCAGGTCCACTCAGAACTAAACGTGCACAACAAGGAGGAAAGCCATTATCAGTGGAGCACCGATTCAATGAGTCACCATGACGACAGNGTAGTTCCCATTGATTTAGCTTGGAAAGCGGGGAGAATGGCGCTAGGCTTACCGCACCGTGACGTCACTGCTGGAAGATGGCAGGAGGGAGGGGCTACTGTGTTTTGGCAAAAATGGCCGCTCCCAGACTCAGTGATCGAGATGAAAATTATTGCTTTTATTTTTTTACTGATTAACGCTAAATTCATTAAATAACTGCGAATATATTAGTCTTAGGTATAAATAATGATCCATTGGTTATTCTTTGCCGACCAGACTTGTCTTTTAAATAGACATGCATCATGTGCTGCAAAAAGAAAAGTCTAATAAACACCAGAAACGTTAAAATGTTGCTTTAATGAAATTAACAATATATTAACAAGTTTAGGAAAATACAGGAAACAGAAGGTTAGGACTCAACAAAGCGCTCAAACTAAAAGGTTTTCTTCAGAGATTAAATTCTCCAGCTTTGGTAAAATTTAAGCCCCATGTTCTTCTTTCAAGGAGACGCTCCCTCGAAGACTTTTAGCTTCATGATAGTCGGCCTCTCTCACCAGACTCTGTGGACTGTCCACATCTACGTAGTCCTGCAAAAAACAGAAAGCATCCAGTCCATCAGAACAAGCATAGAATCTGCAGACTGGGAGCAGAAGCTGGTTTGGTTCATTTTTAATGGTTGATTTTAAACAGAGCAGGCGGCTGCTTACAGCATCGTTCTCCATGATGTTCTCCAGCATGGACACGATTTCCTTGAAGGAGGGTCTGAGGGTGTGAGGCTCCTGCCAGCAGTCACGCATAATGTGAAGCCTGTAAAAAGTCAAGCACACTTTATTCTCTTATTTTCATGTTTCCGCTGTCAGGAACTGTTCTCATGTTTTAGAGCAGAAACAGTTTCTAAGTGCAGCAAGTATTACTCCAACATTATATCTATAACAAACGTTGGATAAGGAACCTACTGGTGAAGGTTCTCAGTCATCCAGGTCATAGTCAGTCCAAAACAGCTAAAAATAAATCCACTGGACTTTGTTTACAAGTTTGAAGACATTTCTCTTCCATCCAGGAAGCTTTTTAAATTCAAATGTCAGAAATAACATTTAATTCCAGGTTTTTTATAGTAGCCAAACAAAGCCTTGTTTTATGCAGGAGCGGATTTCTCCTCATAGCGTCTGCATTTCTAGCCAGCTGATCCGACTGATGAGGAATAAACCAGTTTGTAGGTTGTTCTTCCTCCACCTGTTTCCTCTGGATGTTTGGGACACCTGGTAGATCCTGTCTGTGACATAGCTCTCTCTCTCCACAGTGAGCCCGCCCTGTTTNTTCTTCCTCCACCTGTTTCCTCTGGATGTTTGGGACACCTGGTAGATCCTGTCTGTGACATAGCTCTCTCTCTCCACAGTGAGCCCGCCCTGTTTGCATGAGGATAGCTTTGGCGTCCCCGTTAGAACCACACAGATCCTACTGTGGCTCTCAGCCTTTCAAATATTTCTCCTTTTGCTGCACAATCCATCAGAAAGGTGGTTGATCAATGGAAATAACTCTGCAGCAGCCTCTGCTGGTGGCTGGACTTCCAGCCGACCTTCAGGTCATCCTTCAGCCTTTCTATTCTCCTTTCGCTTACATGTCATAACAAACGGAGGCATTTGATGGCAGAGCAAGCTCTGCACCGGTGGATTACAGTGAAGAAAGGACAGTCCTGGTGCAGCTTGGTGGAAAAGCAGAGCTGAGGAATCACTGTTAGCTGAAAATATTCACCCAGTTAAGACCATTATGATTATAAACTAAAGATTATCTCTTCTTTAGAGGTCAGCTTTGTTACAATCCATCCACTTTCTTCCTCTTTATCTGGCGCCGGGTCGCAGAGGCAGAGATGCCCAGACTTCCTGATTCACACACACCTCCTCCAGCTGCTCCCTGAGGCGACACCAGGTCAGCTCAGAGACATCGTCCCTCCAGCGGGTCCTGGTCCTTCCACCAGGCCTCCTCCCAATGGGACATGTCTGGGACACCACCTGAGGGAGGCGACCAGGAGGCATCAGGTACAGATACCCGAGCCTCCCCAGCTGGCTCCTTTAGACGTGGAGGAGCTGCGACTTTACTCTGAGCTCCCGGGTAACTGAGCTCCTCACCCCATCTGGAAGGGTGCGACCAAACTCAGTTTGGCCGCTTGTATTCGCCATCTTGTCCTTTGGGTCGTTTCCCAGATCTCATGCTTATAGGTGAGGGTGGGAACGTAGATCCATCGGTAAATCCAGAGCTTTCAACCAAAGATAAAAAAAAACTGTATCTGTCGAAGTTTAACTAGCCTGGGTGCCATTCCGAACTTAGTCCCGCCCACAAGGTTTGAGTTCGGGGAAGTTCGGTCTGGCTTTGCTCCATAGTAGCGCGAGTATTATCGCCCACTGTCAGGCGATCCAATCAAATTGTCAGGGCGGGCTTTATACTATGATGGACAGATGACCAACAGTAACGTAAT